AGTTGTCAAAATCAAATCATTTCTTGTTTTCATTAGTGGTAGGGCTTTAATTATTTTTCTTGGAATACTATGTTTGTAACATGTTTTAATTAGAAAATAACTTGATATTAAAGAGAAAGGTAATTGAAAATAGGCCTGTTATTAATTAAATTCTCCCAATCGATTTCTTTTGCAAGAAATGCACCCAGGTGATTGTGAACCTGGCCCTTTGTTTTCACAGATTATGTGTATAGAGCAGCAGATTCTCCTAGACCTGCATATGAATCCTCTCTTCTCTCCAGTGTCAACAGTAGAGGGACGTGTTCCCTTGAAGGACTGTGTCCTGTCTGTCAGCCAGTTCACTGGCATCGAGAGAGATTCACTTATCTTCCTCGCCGAACTTTTGGGAGCTAGGTTGGTCTTGCATTGTGTACGCTGTATGTGTAACAGTTCCCTTATTATATCTTAATAGCAATTGAACATAGAGTTAGGAAGGTGGTTGTAGTCATTAAACCCTTAGTATATGTAACCAATTTGTGTTAAACACAACAGGAGTATAATCTGTTTCGTATAGCGTAAGTACATAGTTTCCATTCTCAACAGCGTGTTTCTTCCACCGTTACATAAGGTGCTGCCCTGCAAGTTTGGTAAAATGCAGACATTTTACCATTATTTAAAACTGGAAATTAAGAAAGTCATATGGCACTAGTTTAAGATGCACTCCTTATGTATCGATTTATGAGCTTTAGAGTATACAGTTGAGTTTGCCATGATGAAAAAAAGACAGATGACCTTAAAGCTTGGAGTTTTCTGATAGATGTTTTGTGTCAGTTTTCCCAGTGTTTGTGCATGAGGGTCCCCCTAGATAGTGGTGTTGGGCATCTGACAGTTGATGCACAGCATTCTCTGACATTCTCAGAAGATAGTTTTGAGGCACATATCATTTTTAAAAACTTCCCTTATTCATATATGTTAACTGAAATGTAACCATTTGGACTTAAAAAGATAAAAGCTCATTGTTGGACCTGTTTGGACAGTTAAGGATAGAATGCAGGACTTACTAAAAGTAAAGCGATCACCAATCTTTACCTGTTTCTAGGCTGCTAGGCTCTGAATCATTTTGTATGTATAACATCATTTCTGTTGAGCTAATGTGATAGAAAATACAGCAATCACACCTGCACACCTTGATGGTAGCCAGTCTGTCAGTGGTTTTTCCACCTTGATTATTTCCAGTTATGTAAGCATTAAAATAATGATACTTGGTTTTATAAAATATAGTCTTAATCAGGTTATGTCTTTTGTTCTCCTTTGCCCACTGATTAAATAAAATATCAGATAAACCTATTAGAACAAACTTCTAAGATTGTTTCATACTAGATAAAGTCTTTCACGAGAGGCCAGCCTTGCATTAGAATTGGTCAGTCTGCAGTGTCACTAATCAGGTCGGTGTCCCCATCACGCAGAGTGCAGGAGTTCTTTGTCCGGAGGGCGAACCAGCAGAAGGGCATGCTGGCCAGCACCCACCTGGTCCTGAAGGAGCCCGAGGGCTCCAAGTACGAAGCTGCCAAGAAGTGGAGCTTGCCCGCCGTCACCATGCGCTGGGTCCTGGAGTCCGCATGCGCGGGCAGGAGGGTAGACGAGGGGCGCTTCCTGGTGGAGAACGCCAGCCCTGCAAGTTGGTGTCCAAACGCTGTCATGTCACGTTACATTGAGACAGAAGTAGTAGTAGTATTGGTCAGCTTTACTGCCAGACCAACTCTTCTGGTTGTTAGCAATGATTTTTGGTGCACTTGTTAAAATAACAAAGACACAAAAAATAAGTTAAGTAGGAGACTGCGTCAGCATGCGTAGACTGCAAAGGAACAGCTAAAGTTAAAGGCTGTGGTACCTTCTTCCGGTGTCATTTGAAGAAGGCTCCATAGCCGAAACGTGTCTCTTTTCTTTTCCTTACAACATTGGATAAACTTTTACCTGTTCCTTTGCAAGTTACGAAAAGAGCAAAATGACATATACATATAATAATTCATTGATTTTTGTAGGAAAATGACCTAAGCTGTCTGGAATATCATAATATCCTTATGCAAAGTTGCCAGTACATACTTTTATATTACTGTTTAGTTAAAATCTTCACAAGGTTGTAAGCTAAAACGGGGGAAAAGGTGGCTGGGAGTGGTCACTAATAAACTTTAAAGTATCTCCTATTTAAGTGTGTTGCATATATGGAAGCAGTCACAGCCAGTTACTTTCAAAGCTGTGTGGACCACCTTATGCAGCTGTTTTCTTTCTTGAGAGGCTAGGTTCCCAAACCAGAGCGTTAACACGGTCTCAACTGTTGCGCTGAAAAAATTAGCCATGGCTTGCTGGGACACACTAAACTTTCTAAGCTGTCTGAGAAAATGGAGTTTCTGATTGGATTTTTTCACTATATGGCATATGTTGGCCTCATTTCAAGGTGGAGGACATTATTATACCAAGAAAAATGTAGAGAGGTTGTAATTTATACCTGTCACACCCTGTTACACCTGAAATCAAAGACTACCTCTTTGGTTTTACTCATATTGAGCTGAGACTCATAAAAGTCTCCTTGGCTCCTCCAACAATTTCAGAAGTTTCAGCATTGCAAATTCATTTTACTTCCTTAAAGGTTCCTTATGAATCTTTAGTGGATACAAAACAAAGGAAAATCAGTAAAATATTGAAGAAAAAAAGAGAGTAGTAAAGACAGTAGCTTCCTTTGACATCTGCAAACCTCGTATTCATTATATTTGTACAAATGTTGTGCTCTCCTTCATTTAAGAGGATTCAGTTTGCTAAGCTTTCTTCTGTGTCATGGTAAAAACTAAAAATTGTTTAAAAATGATCAGAAATCAAAAGACAAACTTTTGTTGAGAATCCTTTAAGGAGTCCTATCTAATATGAATATGGACAAAAGATTAAATGCAAGTTCAATATAACATTTTTCTTAAAGTGCTATGTGCCATAAACTGCAGTTTATAGATAAAATACTTGGATGGTGTGAGGTCCCTTACAATCCTGCTTTCTTCTCTGTATTGCCAGAAGAGGAGCACAGCTTTGTGGGTGGTTCCCAGAAGCCTGAAGTCAACAAGCCCATGTGCTCCCCTGAGTTCCCAGTGCTTAATCTGAATAGGCTGAAGAGCAGTGTGGTGACCCCGCTGGACATGAATCGCTTCCAGAGCAAGGCGTTCCAGTCAGTACTGGCTCAGCCAGCGGGAGAGCAAAGCAGTCCAGGGCAGGGAGGCAAAGCGCCGACCACAGAGCCCTCCCTCCAGCTTGACACTCCCTCCAGGTTCCTCTGCAGAGACCAGCTCTTCAGACCTTCGTTCGACGTCAAGGTGTGGTGCGCTAGTCGATTATTCTCGACAACCATGTAAAAACATTCATTTATAGGTCACGTTTAGAGTTTTTGGTGCTTATTTCACAGCAGTGAACCCCGCTTTAGAATGTTGTCAGCTGTCTTTGCGTCTTTATTGGTAATACTTATTCATTACCCCCTCTTTTATAGTATTAGTAATTAGTGCTTTAGAGTTCTAATTAAAGTCGTTTATAAAAATATATCCATTTAGGTTGAATTTGAATTGAAGTGTGTACAGGGATCAAGGCATCAAGAGGTGAGGAAAAGATCCCCCAGCTATTGAAATCTGTTTGATTTTCTCTGCAGGGTTGTGCTTTCCAGTCTTCCTACATCACACAGCGCATGCATTTCAGCTTTTAATTGCCACAGCAGAGAGGACATTTTATTTCCCACTGTAGCTTATAATTGTTATGTATTTTTTTTTTTATCCATAACATTATATTAATGGATAACTGAGAAGGCTGCCTAATCTGGGTGAGAGGCCAATGTCAAGACGAAGAGCGTTCATGACCTCCGTGTTCTTGGTTAGGATGCTCTGGAGGCGCTGCAGACTCCTGGGGGTCCCGGGCAGCCGAGCCGGAAGCTGTGCACCCCGCTGTCCGTGGTCATCGGCAGGAACCTGCAGGTGGCCCTGGCCAACAGCACCCGCAACAACATGGCTGCTGTCACTGCCAGCCCCCAGCTGGGAAGCCCACTGGCCCACAAGGTACCAGCAGGGGTTGCTTTCTCTGGCAGTTGAGGTCAAAAAAGCATGTGCAGTCTTTTGGTAGTTTGATCTTGCTCTGTAAATGTCGTCACAACACTATTAAAATGAATAAACAGTTCTAGGAGAAAGAATAGTGTCCTGTGTAGGGAGTTGTCTATGGATCGTGTAAAATGTAATTATGCAGCTAACCACATTAGTATGTGTAGAACTCTTGTATGAAGCATTTCATAGCTTGCATTGATGTTGGTTTGTTCATGCTTTGTATTATAATGTTAGTAATAAATAATTTGCATTTAAACAGTATCTCATTTCATCTCAAAAGATCCTTTAATGTGGTTTATAGGCAAGAGTGGATTTACTTCCTATGCCACTGAAGTATTGACTATGTAGGAGAAACAATAAAGAGGCAAGGCTGAAAGGTTTGGTATTACCAGTTAAACTTTGTAGAAAAACCTATGGAGGAATAGGTGCCGATTACCTGAATTATACTGAATTAAGTGGGATTAGCCAGTTGGGTCTAATGGCCTTCATTCACATGTAACCTTTTTTATGTTCTATTCTAGAGTGAGGACCTGAAGCCCCTTGCTGGTGTGGTGATCTGTGTGAGCAAGAAGCTGAGTAAAAAACAGAGCGAACTGAATGCCATTGCAGCCTCCTTAGGGGCTGATTTCAGGTACTAGAACTAATTCTGGTTACCCCTTTGGGGCTCTCTTACTGGACCAGGTCATATGCAGAAAGAACCGATTTAATACTGTATATGTAAAGCCATGCTATTTCTGCCATGTTGAGAAAATTGCATATCCCACAGCATAAGCCTTCTGCAATTTCCAGCAGTGTACTAGGACAACAACATTACAAGAAGCAGAACTGCAAACTGTACCTCCACATCATACAGATTCACATACTTCACTGTGTGCCCTGCAAGATGCTGGTATTTGCAGTCTCGCCTTGCTTTTTTCCCCTGCCCTTCCTCCATACCGGATGATTAAATTATGTATCTGTTGATTTTGACTGCTTTTGTGCATCATCTATTTAGCAGTCAGTTAAACTGCATCCTACTTTGTTATTCTTGCCATGCCAGTTAGGTCACATAAATGTCTGGAATGTTTCATGGTTAAAATTAAAATTTGAATGTTTCATGGTTAAAATATCAACTAAAAAATACTAAATTGGAAGACTGACCCAACATCAACATGAAAACAGTAGTTGTCTGTTGTTAAATCATAGTGTATTATGAATTGTGGCTTACTAACACAGTGTTCACCTGGTAATAACAAGGACTGGTTTTGAATCAGTATGTTCATCTTAATTTTTAGGTGGTCTTATGATGAAACAGTCACACACTTTATCTACCAAGGCCGGCAGAATGATAACAGTAAAGAGCTGAAATCTGTCAGAGAAAGAGGAATCCATATTGTCTCAGAGCACTGGCTTCATGTGGTATGTATCCCAGCACTCAGACGTGTTCAGATCACAAAAGGGTGGATTTTTTAAGTAATTTGGAGCTGCTTTATGTAAGATAAGATTTACTGTTTTTTTTCTCTCAATCACTACTTATGATAAATCAAAAACCAGAAGAAATATAGGTAAAATATAAGTTTAATATCAGCCTCTGCAGAAATAACAATACTGACACAAAAACTGGATTTTGTATGCATTTCTTTCTTTTTAAGTGTGCTGAAGAACAACGGATTGTACCAGAATCTCTTTACCCCTTTACATACAATCCTAAAATGAGTCTAAACCTCAGCCAAATGCAAGATACTCAGAAGACGGCACCCAGCGTGCAGAGCCGTAAGGAAACCTCTTTCGAATCGGTGGTAAGTGATTCCCACGCTGGGGCCTAGACCATATCCCTAAAGAAACGTGATTATCCCGAATACAAGCTGCTCCAGAAAAGCCAATATTTTATGTTCCTTACGAGGAAAACCTTATTAGAAGACAAGAGATGCGGAAATAATATTAATTTCCTTCCCAGTCAGTTTACTTTTCAGATCAGGCATGGGATCCCCACGTATAGCACATCCATGTTTAAGACGCAAAGCTGTGCATATATTTAATGTTTCCGACAAAGACTGTGTAATCCATAAATTATATTTGGGTTACCTACTTCAACGTTTTCTTGAGTTTTTGCAGGGCAGATGGTTCTTTAAGTTGTGTAGCCCTACACTCAGCCCTCTGTGTCTGTGTAGAGTTTGTATGTTCTCTGTCTGGGTGAGGGTTTTTGCCAGGTACTCTGGTAAACTCTCTTTACCCCACTGGCTTAATTTGATTGGCTCTTGTCCGGGGCTCTGCAGTGGACTGGAATGCAGGGAGGGCTCAGTTCTGTCTCGGGCTCTGTGCCTTTAGGATGGGCTGTGGTGACCCTCAGCAGGATAAGCAGCTCCCTGATGATGCATATATACTGAATCATTGCCAAGAGTGAATCTGGTAATGAATTACGTTCTCTTCTTTCAAGCCACATGAAGGCAATGAGGAAAATATGGAAGCAAGTGAGAAATCTCAAAACGGCGAACAGACTGCTTTAGGTGAGGTGACAGACCTGGAAAACCTTGAGAAAAGAGGTACGTCTGTGACTTGCACTATGTTTGTGAATATTTTATTATTGATGTAATTAGTTTTTTGTGCAAACAACATGCCAATTTTGGAAAGTAGCTGCACATTTCTGATGTTTTCCTATATTTTTGGCATTTTATAATTTGTGAATCTTCATTAAAATAATACTGTATGTATAGTTCTGAAGTTGACGGAGTCCTCCCTTAACACTGTTGTTAAATTGCAATACTCGACACTGGGTCATAAATTTGTTAAAAAATAGTTTACTGTGAAAACAAATTTGATAGTTGGATGGTTAGAGAATATTGGAGATGTGGAATATTCTGCATGTGCAATATTTTGTGAAGCCTTTAGATAGTATGTTGTTTATGATAATGTCAAGTGTAAAGTTTTGTATAATTCACTGTTTGTCCCGGATATGCCAAGATGTCCAGATAAGGAATAATGGACGTTGGATGAAATCTCTGATTGTGTACATGTAAAGCATTTCTGAAATTGAAGAACAAATATAATTTAGCAAAATAAAACATTGTTACCCTTGAGACTGTTTTATTGTCATAATATAAAATGCCTTTCATGACCCAAAGATCATGAAGGCTGTATATAATGGGATCTTTATTACATGTTCACTGATTTAGTTGCACGTCTGTGCTGCACATAGGTGTTCTATGACTGGATGTTTGCTGTTTTTTCCTCATGCAGAGCTGGCAGAAACTCTGGAGATGCGGGAAAACCTGCAGCGTCAGCTCCAGGAGATTATGTCAGCCACAAAGCTGCCCAAAGGTCACCGGTCCTCTATCACTTTGGAAAACCGCCCCCACACCCCTGACAGTGTGGGTCGGCCTCTAAGGAATGGGCGCAGCAGAGGCCTGGAGGCGCTGAGGTAAAGTAATCCCCGCCAAGAGCAAACCAGCTGGGGTTATGATACCACCAGCCTCTCAGGTAGCAGATCTGTGACAGATATTCCATTCAAAGGGAAAGATGTTTTTTTCCGGTCTGAAGCAGTGCATTTCAGAGATGTGAAGTCAGGCGTTAGATATTAAGAAATGGGGATTTTGGAAAGCAGCATTTGTAATTTGTTGCAAAATTGCTAATATGCACTTTCGTGACACCTGACATTACGGCATGTTCCCTTCATCGGACTTAAAAGCTTGCTGAAGAAATTGTCACTCAATTCACTGTGTTAATGAATTTGCATTGCATAAGTTAGAACAGCAACTTATCAATTGATTTTTATGGCTTGAATTGTTATTTTATAACAATTTTTTACTTTATAATGGGCTTCTGGAGGTTCAGGATTTTATTGCAGTGTTAAAAAAAGACATGAAATGTTGCATGGCCCATAAATAGTACTGAATAGTCTAATGTGGTTGAAAATTATTTTGATAAGTATGATTTGTTGAGCTCTGGTGCTAAAAGCATTTTCTATATGCTTTACAGGTAAAGTTTTTTTTGCTGTTGTTCTTTTGGAAAATAACAGAGAAGATTTTATCGGCTTTAATATTAATTTCTCCCTGGAAATGGTATTTTCTATCTATTCATTCAATATTATCCTCATTATTCCTATAGGCAGTCCCGTCGTGCTATGATGGACATGAACACAGAACCTTCACAGAACGAGCAGATCATCTGGGATGACCCTACAGCACGAGAGGAGAGGGCCAGGCTGGCTAACAACCTGCAATGGCCAACCAGTCAGTCCCAGCACTCAGAGCCACTGCAGGTTAATGGGATTGATGGCAAAACGGATACCCATGACTACAAGGAGTCCATGACCGATTCAGAGCTGGCAGAGCTTGGTAAGAGAGGTGCAGATGTGCCCAGAACACAAGCAGCTAGGTTTCTTGAGGGGGGGCTACCCCAAAACCAGGGGTGCGAAGATTGTTCTTCTCATACTAAAGCTAAAGATTTCATGCAATTGAGAAAAATAATTTCCTCCAGTTCTCAGAAGAATGTCTTGGGCTCTTCTTTATCACGTTGCATTAATTTGTGCACCCAATTACAATGAGTGGAATGTTAGGTGAAGAACAAAATTAAAACAAAGGAAGATTTATTTATGGTATTGACTTCCATTTTAATTTTATGTTAAAACTTTACGGGTCCTTATAGAGTTATTTGAGTTATTCCTTATTGAGGGGATCCTGGAAGAAGAGTTTTCAAACTTCTGTCTTGGGAACCCAAAATAGTTCTTACTGTTGCACTGGTGCTCTAAGAAGAGGGGTCAGAAAAAAAGTAACTGGTACAAAAACGTCTATGAGAAATCAGCTGAATTCCACAAAAAGTAACAGACGCTTAATAGACTTTTAGAAGCAGGTTGCTGTCATGGGTGGAAAAAATACACGAAAAGGAGACTTGAGCATGTGAGAGGAAGAAGATGCTGTCTAGAACATGGATTCCTGTAGGGCTAATTCTCAGTCTGCTTCCAATATATACTAAAATGGCTGGCGAGTAAGTGGTTGAATCTCGGAGAACTTTGTTGAAGTAAATGTCCCTCGCAACAATATCACTTGATCATTTTTTGAGATGTAATAATCGGGCTGCAGCTTTCGCTGTCTTCGTTTCCTGTTTGTGATTCAGCTGCCTTCAGTGTGGAGGAAGCTAACGGGAGTAAGGTCAGCGCTTCTCCAGTGAAAGAAGAGGCTCTAGCCTCGCCGGCAGAAGGCCAGATACTCACACCCCAGGCTCCCAGCACCACCTTTCCTTTAGTTAACCCTCCTGTCCCGCCACAGCCCCAAGAGCAGGTATGGAGAAGTGCGATACTGTTATTTATCCAGGCCTGGTCTGTTTACATTCACCTTTGGATCAGCAGTGATTTGTGAAAGGTTCAGATATGTCTGTTAGTGTTTCTATATTCAATGTAAACAAAACTTTTACACATTCTTTGTCGAACAAAAGCATCTGAAGTAGAAATGTCCATATCTCTTGTCGCCGTCTCGTTTTAAGTAGCTGAACTGAGTCTGGGAATTGCTTAAAGTCTGTAATACTTTTTTTTCTTTCGCTTCTAGGAGGAGGAAAAAAAAGCAAAGGTCCAACCAAGATTCCAGCTGTCCTCCCTTAACCCCCAAGAACGCATTGACTACAGTCACCTGATCGAGGAGCTAGGTAAATTCACACCAGTACAGTACAGGTCATAATGAAGCCATTTGTTCACCTCCTGGTGAATCAGCTTCTAAAATATGTCATTTTGTCCTGTGCACCAAAGCTCTGTCAGACTTAAAATGAACTACAAAATCTTTGTTCCAGGATAGAGTTTTTCACCTATTTTATTACCTTTGTCTGATATACATTCCAGTTGTTGGGTTATTCACAGTTTCACAGAACAGCAGTGCCCGTTTAAAAATATTAGTACCCTATGGCCAGTTTCCCTGACATCTCTTCTGAGGTCTTCAGCATTGTATACGTGAATGTGTTTTGTCATTGGGCAAGTGTTGACCCACGTCTGCTGTCAGTATGTAGAAGAGATGGAGGCTTGTACTGCCTTTGTCTTGCACATCACTTTTTTCCCTTCACTCGTCATCATTTTTTCTGCTACTACAATTAGCCAAAACCTATAGGTTGGCCTTTTTTTTTTTCAAACTCTGGTGTAATTATACAGTAGTTTTCAAGACAAATTCTAGATATACATAAACAATTATTTTGAATATTTACAACTCCTGGAGTTTTGCAATTTTATTTGAAAGGGAACCTTTATTTAAAGCCCGTTTTGCCACTTGGTGATAGCAAGTTTATTTTTAAATACCCGAGAGAAAGTAATAGAAGGTATGAAGAAGAGGAAGTCTTTTGGACCAGGGCTTTTTTATTAGCTACCCAGGTGATGTAGTGATATATTTACCTCTTAGGGATCCACAGCAGCGTGGGAATATCAAAATGGGATAGTCAGAGAGGTCACAAAAGGATAATGCAAAGCTAATAAAGATAATGCTCTGCTCTCTGTTTTACAGACTTTGCTGTAGCTTTTGTAGTGTCCTGGCATGTATTCTGTGAGAGTATTAGTAATCACTGATCACTGAACCTGACACTCCATTTCCGCAGACCAGTATTTAGCTTGTGCATAACTGTCATTGTAAAGTCAGCAGCCTCTGTGGTTGATTGCGTGGGACATTGTTGAGAGTTTCTACCTCACTTTTTATTAAACTTTAGTTTATATACTCTTGTTCATTATTGCTTGTCATGTTAAGTGGATGATTGGTCCCCAGTTCAGACTGATATTGTAAAAATTAAATTTCTGTTTTCTTTTTAGAATTCTATAATCATATATTCATGTAAGGAATTGTATATATGTATGTCTGTCTTTTGAAAGACTTGTGTTTTAGCCTGTTGACTATTCTTCATTCCATTGTTCATTCATAGTTTTAAGAATGGTTAACTGTTGTGATTTTGGTACAAACTCCCAGCTTTAAGCATGACCTATCTCCACACGTTGATTGAAGTCAATAGGAAGGATGATTGTTACTGTATTTGTTAACCACCTGCATGAACACTGAGGTACATCCGTTGAACCCTACAGGTGGGGTGGTCCTGGACAAGCAGTGCTTTGACCCAAGCTGCACGCACATAATTGTTGGATACCCGCTGAGGAATGAGAAGTATTTGGCTGCGATGGCGGCTGGCAAGTGGATCCTTCACCGCTCCTATCTCGAGGCCTGCAGAGCCGTGGGGAAGTTCATCGAGGTTGGGAGAATTTTAGAAGAGGGTTCTTCCTTGCAACAGCCAATTCAATATTTCAGCAGTTTCATAGACTCCTTTTTGCAAATGGATTAGGTCCAAGAGCTCTTTGAAGTTTGCAGAAATTGCTCTTCGGCTTGCAAGGCTCAGGAAACAAATGAACCCACAAGAGGTTATTATTTTCGTGTTAACTGCACTTGGCAGACCGTGTCGAATCATTTTTGACGTTGTGGTTTGCGGTTCAGGGTTACTTCAGTTTATCTTGTAGCCTGACTGCCGGACTTGGTTGCCTTCCTTCCATTATCTGATGGTTTCAGGGTTTCAGTGCCCTTTATGGTTGAAATGGTGCAGTGGGTACTCTGCTGGTGCCTAGACAGACACTACTGAATGAACCAGTACAGTATATTGGAAGGTATTCATTATAAGTTCTGTAATGGCTTACTTTTAATTTACAGTAAACATTTTTTATAGTGCAGAAGAGATTTGCTACAATGAAGAATGGAACTATTTTTATCTATTGTAAAACATATAAAAAAAAGTAGTGTTGAATATTTTTGTTGAATGCTATATAAATTTCTTTTTTGTCTAGTCATTCTCGAGTAGTTTTATTCCTTTGTAGCAAAATTGTTTATTAAATGTACTCTCAACTATGGGAGTAAGTATATCAAATCTGATGAAGGTGCAAAAGATGCTCCTGTAAGGAAATTGGGCTCCTTTTCGGGAGAATTCAGTCGATTTGCTCTGATCTTTTAAAGTTGTTTTTTTCTTTCAGGAGGAAGAGTATGAATGGGGCAGCAGCTCCATTCTTGATGTTCTTCCTGGCATCAATGCGCAGCAGAGAAAGCTGGCTGTTGCAGCAATGAGATGGAGAAGAAATCTCCAGGGCAGAAGAAACAGCGATAGCAGTACAGAGGTACCAGTGCCCAGGAAGGTCCTCACTGTAAACCACATGAGCTCATTAGCAGAACTGCTGTTGGAAGAGCACTGTACAAGCACTGAGGGGGGAAGACTGAAGTCAACAGTTCAGAGGGATATTTTAAGATTGTGGGGATTTATACTTTTATGGAGGCTGGATATCTGGCCTCAGCACAGATTTGCAAGTACAAACTTTGATACAAATCTGTCTGGAGTTCTTTGTAGGAACTGGGGCTGATTTAGTAATGATCATTTGCTAGCCTGTATGAACTTGTGAACACCAGGACAGAAGGATCAAAAGGCTGTAATCTTGTGGAGCTTCATCGGTTTCAGTCCAGCACAGTTTCTGATGTATTTTCTCTGAACACTCAGGGGGCCTTCAGTGGCTGGTCAGTAATACTCAACGTTGACCGATCGAGAGAGGCAGGGTTCAGACGACTGCTGCAGTCTGGAGGCGCCAAGGTTTGCCTTCGGGTTTTTATTATGTTTAGATTTAGCTATTATGTGCTTCTTTCTCTAGTGCGACACTTCTTGTTTTTTTGCTCCTTTGCTATTATTTCCACATAGTGTATGTCAAGATGTCTGAAATTCATTAATGTGTGATGGAATCTAATAATCCAAATAATTATCTTAAGACCTAAAATGCCCTTATCCCACAACTTAATATCTCATTCACTACTAGACAAGTGTTCTGTTTTGGGTTCTAATGAATCAAAGCATTGATGTATTTTGTCTCCAACAGGTGTTTCCCAGCCATTCTCCATCTCTTTATAAGGAAGCCACTCATCTCTTTGCGGATTTCAGCAAGCTGAAGCCAGATGATCCCAGGGTGAATGTTGCAGAAGCTGTTTCCCAAAATGTGAACTGTTTGAAACCAGAATACATTGCCGATTACCTCATGCAGGTATGTGTATTTTGGCTGGGTCCAGCAGGAATGCCTTTCTTCACTTAAATAAAACCTTTTTAAAATCTAAAGGACCTTCAAAAGTGCCTTGCAAGTGTATTCAGACCCTTGCACAGTCTTCACATTTTGTTGCTTTAAAGCTTGCAATCCTGACACTTGGAAGTAGCAGTTAATATCTATTATATACTGTAGACAACCTACATACTCCCTTAGCGAAAATGTAAAAGCCATGATCTGACTCACAGGAAGACACTGGCTATGAATGCCGGCACTTCTTAGTTGCAAGAAGGAAGCCATTACTGGAGGGAAAACAATCTCAAATCATGCACAGAGTTTACAACAAAGCATTTCAGTGATACTGCAAATGTGGCAAACTTTTTGTGGTCATATGAGACAGAATTGGAACACCGCAATAAACCACTCGGTCGACCCCATCCTTATTGTTAAGCATGGTGATGGCAGTATTGTTACAGGGCTGATTCTCCTCAGAAGAGACTGAAGCTTTTGCTGAGGGCAGTGTGGAAAGTGCAAAGTACAGGCAAATCATAGCAGAAGACCCGTTTCAGTCTGTTAAACACCTACAACTAAGACAATCATTCACCTTTCAGCAGAAGAATATCCTAAAGCACAAGGTCGAAGCTACATTGGAATGGCTCAAATTTATTCTTAAGTGAGTGGCCCTCACGGGCAGTGGACTTGAAGTCTACTGTCCATAAGCGATCCCCAAGCAATTTGAGAGGGCTTGAGTAAATCTGCTAAGAAAAGTTCTGGTGGCAAAAATTTCACCAAGCTGGTAAGCACCGCTGGTACTTTCCCAAGAAAAGTGTTGGCGATTGCTGCCAAAGGTCCTTCTAGTTAATATTGAGATAACAGGTCTGAATAATCTTTATTTTGAATGTTTCTCATACAAAAATGTAAATTAACTTAAAAAAATTAATAATTTTAAACAATTCACAGTTTAGATACTTTTAATTGTTTTAATTCTATTTGATTTTTACGTAGTTGTATATATAGACCTTTTGACACAGGAACCTGGATACACCCCTTTGTTCATTGTTCATACTGGATTAGATGTGTTTAAACTAAATGTGTGTATATACATGATGGAATCAAGCTACAAGAATCAAGGGTAGTTTTATACTATTCAGCTTGTTGCATTTTGTGTCTTGCAGGAGCCCACACCTGCAGTAGAGAATTACTACCTGCCAGAAGCTGTAGCGTGTTTGCAGGATGGCTTGGACTCCAGCAGATATTCAGCATCTCGTAAACGCAAAGCATCTGAAGAGATGACATCGATCAAGAAGTCCAGGATGAAATGACTTGATTGCCTAGGATAGACTAATGTAAAGATTTAGTACAATTTATGACTTTCACAGCTGTATAGAAGAAAAAAAAATACATTTGTACATTTTTATGGAAAAATAAAATTGAAGTTTTAAAATGTACAAGCATGTTTATTTAAATTGTATGAGAGATGCTACAGATTCTGCTGTAAGGTTATTAGCACCTCATTAAAGCCTCCTTTTATGGATTCCCCATGATTATGGGTACACTTGATACAACTAGTGTTAGACTTAAAATGTTTAATTAATAAAATAATTTACTCATCATTATTTAATGAATTCATTCTGTTTTGTATCTTTTTACACATGTATGGGTGTATTCTCACCACATATGTAAAAAGGTACATGGGTGAATTTGAAGATAGTTAACATTTGTTTTCCCCAACTTGATGAGTTGATGAGGGTAATTGGTGGTTCTCTCCCCTGTGTGCCATGTGTTTGCTCTGCAAGGGGATGCATCCTGTTTTTTTGGTTCAGCTCTAGATTCTCATGCATGGAATAAGTGAATTATAATGCATGGCTATATAAGTGCCTGGGGTTGTATGATCTCCTTTTGTACAGAGATTGTTTTTCCAAGGTTTGAGGCTACACTGATTCATCATGTCCCTGGCATGGTTATGTAGGAGCTTCACACTTCTAGCTCTAACTGCCCTGGGAGGTGCAGCTCATCCCAACTCTTCGTGTTTGAATTGATTGTAGGTAAGCCGTAGAAATCTGTTCCTCTTCCCCATAGCAGTTTAGCCTTAGATAAATCTTATGCAGACTTTGTGGTTCTGCAGGTGACAGAAATAATTTATTTTCTGTAATTGTCTTGTGCAATCTCCTGTCTTACCCTATATTACTCTCATAATAACACTGCCAGGTAGATCCTGCCTGTCCCAGTTTACAAGATTGTGAGAATGTGGCCAAGGGCAGCAGTGAACCAACATTCACCATTGGCGTCCTGTTTGAATGATGTAGGCAAGATTAAGACAATATGCCCTAACTCCTCACCTCACCCTAATTGGCATAAAATAATTTCAAAGGATAGTTCTACTCAATTTTTAAAGCATAAATAATTTAAGCCATAACTAAACTGGTGTATATCCAGCTCTACCAGTCTTTATACAATTGTTTTATGTAAATAATACAAAGTATTAAGTTAAAATATTTCAGAAATAAACCTAGCATGCCTACTGAATTAACCACTTCTATCAACTACACAACATGGCTGGTTTTTGTTGACCTGAGAACCTGCTGGGATACAGACCCTGAATTCCTCTCTTGCTGAGCCCTTTACATAACCAATTGATTGACTAACCATTTTCAGCAGTTTCATAAACAATCAATTTTAAGTGCAATCAGATTCATCCATCTGTCTTCTAACTGCTTTATCCAATTCAGGATCATGGGGAAGCCAAAGTCTATCCTGAAAAGCAATGGGCAGGATACACACTGGACAGCACACTAGTCTGTCACAGGGCACACACACCAGGACCTGTTTTCCCAGAAGCCATGTAACCTACTAGGATGATTTTGGACCATGGGAGGACACCCATGCAACCCCAAAGACACCATTCAAACTCCACCCAGATAGCACCCCAGGTCCAGAGCTGAACCCAGGTCCCCAGCTCTGCAAGGTAGCAACACTAACCACTACGCTAATGTGCTACTTTTTTAAGTGTAATATTTCCAGGAAATGTAGCAAACAGACCTATTCAACTTGCTTTGAAATCCATGCACTCCTGCAGATCTTTAAACCCAATGATTGATTTCCAATGCATCAGAAAAGGTTGGAATGAGATGGTGGCCCTCATACATGGAAGATTTCTTAATGTTTAACTCTATCTTATCTAACCCTGCTCTAACATTTGAAAGTTGCAGCTATTTAAAAAAAAAGACCATTTCATGTTTCAGGAATCTTAAAAAAGGAGCTTAGTTCAGGAGCCACTGCACTCTCCCATCTTTCAGTAACCAAATCTGCACGTGTAGCTGACTTACTGTAATTTAAAGCATTCTAAGGTCATTCTGGTATATCAGCAAGCTACCCTCCAGGGACTGGAAATGAAAAAAATCTGTCAGGAAACACTGGAGAAGCACTCCAAAATCCAGAGTAGCATTATAAGCCTGCTCAGCATCTCTAAGATTTTTTTTTATCACTCATAGGGTGGTGTGATGGCTCTGTGGCTAAGGATCTGCGCCTGTGGCTGGAAGCCTGCCAGTTCGTATCCCATGGCTGGCAGAGGAATCCTACGCTGTTGGGCCCTTGAGCAAGGCCCATAACCCCAACTGCTTCAGGGGTGCCATATAAATGGCTGACCCTACGCTCTGACCCCAAGCTTCTCTCTCACTGTCTGTGTGTCTCATGGAGAGCAAGCTGGGGTATGTGAAAAGACAAATTCCAAATACAAGAAATTGTATATGGCCAATAAAGTGATCTTATCTTATTCCCTATAAAGAATCGCCAATAGCATCTTTCCTTCTTAACTTACAGCACAGCAGGCAGACACCTCCGATCCTCCTTCCCTCACAGCTACTCATCTTCTGACAAATCGCAGGGGCTGCAGACACACAGAAGCTCAGATCCCACTGGAGGAGCAGCCCATTCCTCAACATCACCATGTGCCTGCAGTTCACTGGGAAGCAAGAGAGCCCGGCCTGCTAACCCCAGTTTAATGCCCAGTGGTGCAGAACTAAATGTGCAAGTCCACTGGGAGAATCCCATTCACAGGCCACCAGGCCTTATAGACATTTCCTTCACCTTTTTCTTCTGAAAGCACAAAAACAAACTGACTATCTCCAGCACTTGCAAAAACCGGTAAGACGGTTTGGTATGTTTTCATTCTCACAGGAAATGTACATCTAAATCAGTTTAAGTTATTTAGTAGGTCACTAACAGCTAGAATAGAGATGACAGAAGCACCATCCGAGACCAATGACCAGGAAAGGCTAAAATAAGCAGACAGTGCACCAAAATCAAGTAAAAACTGAGTTCCGCAGATTTATTATATCTAGTTGTACACCTGCTCTAACAGTACGCAAAGTATCCAAATATTCAAAAAAATCATCTTGATTCAATTCTACAGTGCATCACCTTGTTTCAACATACTGTATATAGGTGAGAAAGAAATGTTAAAGATCACCCAGACCACAAAAATCCTCTACTGAACCATACATGCTTTTAAGCAACTTTAGCAACATATAACTATTTTCAGAATCAGTTTGAGAGGAGTGAAAATGGAAGTGTCTCGACCTCAAATGTAGGTTTCAATCCAATTAAAAAAAATATTAAAGAAAACCATGAAATCCCTTCAAGAATGGATAGAGACGGCAACACTGGCCATCATTCAAGACCCACACCCACACCTCTGTCCTGGGAGAAAAAAAATAAAACACAGATGTAACTACATGTAAGTTATTGAGACACCTGAATATGAATTGTATTGATCAGAATCTACAGAACAAAAGGGACATACACATTATTTTTTAAGATATGCAGAACAATTTCAAAGAATCAGTCTAAACCTTCTATAACATTTCTTCTTGGCCTCTTCACATCATACTCTAACAAGGCATCTGAATGTAGCCTAGTGCAGTGTACAGTCCCAGATTATAGGAGACTTAAATCATAATTCCTAATAAATCCTGCTGATTTACCCAAAACAATCTGTTACAGACAAGTTGAGCTTCCATAATGGTTTTATTACACGTCCAAAGTTCTATTTATTTAGTAACAATCTAAGGTTGTTTCTGTGTTACGAGTTATAATTCTCATAGATTACATAAGGATGAAAGATATGAACCATAAGCAATACTACGGTTTACTGCATCATTGATAAAAGAGTGGATTAAAAAGATGTGACACCTCATCACACATTACCCTACATTTGGAGATGTAGATTACAAATTTAGTAAACCTATGGAAAAACAATGCAATTTGTTTGCATTAATGATTAATGAATGGTTTAGAACTACAGCTCTAAATAAGTGAATTCCATACATATTGCTAGATTTGTGGCTCCTAACAACTCCCAGATCCCAAGACAAGCCATTAAGAATGGAAGAGAAAGGTCAAGATATGGTATATACCATAGTACAAGTAAAACACATCCCTGTTTTCAATCAAATTTTATTGTTTAGTGTAGTCTGTGGCATGTTGCTATCTAGTCTATGAAATCTCAACAAAAATAAACATAAGAAAATAGAAATAAGATACACATGCCGATATTTCAGAAAATAGGAAAATGGTATAGGACGGTTTTGAAACTTTAAGATTTGGAGAAAAGCTTCATCCTAATTTTAGAAGTATTAATAATCTACTGCGACATGCCTCCTTCAGTTTTTGTGTAGAATAGCCAACGCAAATATAGACATTTTAATGTTTTTGCAGTTCCAACGTGATGAAAATATATTTCAATAATTAAAAGGGCTATTTTAAACTGAAGATGAATTAGGAACTGAAGAGATGTCGCATATATGGAAATGTTAATGGACTGCAGAACAATGTTTACAATTGAGCAGGACTCATGCAACCACAGAATAATTAAACGGTCTTAAAAAGTACTTGTATTGTGAAACGTCCGTGGTGCGCATCTTTTCATAAAGTGCTGTTGTAGACTGACGAATATCTTAATATTTCTTGACACATGGTGCAAAGCATACATTGCAGATACACAGCCGGGCTCCAACAGTGGCCACACACACAGCTCAAGACATCCACAGTAGACCCCCTATTGATGACTACCGTTAACCAGCATAATGTATTCAGCTATGTCATGTCTGTTCCATAACAGTCTGTTCTCGTCATTTTACTGTAAACAACATTGTGAAATACTTTCAATTACTAATAATAACTAACAAATGTACTTCTGACGCAGCCCATAATAGATTGTGTTCTATAACATATACTGACTATATCCTTTAGCCAAATCAAGATGTTTATCGTTGACTAATCTGCAAAAATACAATATGGATTAACTGTAGAAGTAGGGTACTTCTTTTTGCAAAAATGTTTGAACAAGTTTCTTGGTTTTTAATAGCAGCCTTGGCTTGGAGCTGTGTGAATGTTGAATGTTTAAAATGTTTGCTTAAAAGATGAAATGCAAAAATGAATGACATTTGCTAAAGGCAAAGGAAGAAAGTTGAACTTTTTGTGTTGATTTTCACTAGGCAACTAGATTACATGTTATATTAAGACTCTGCGAATAAATGCAAAACTCCTTAGAATTAAAAATCAGTAACGCAATGCTAGACACAAATATAAACTACTAATAAAAACAGGCACAGGTTAGCAGATGTCTGAGACTGCCAGAAACACTGGATTCAACTAATGGGCTAAAAGGGAACATAACACAATAGAAACCATGAGAAAACATCCAGGTTAAAGGACATTATGCAGTGATACATCAGCTCAAGAGTACAGCAGACCACCACTCATGTGTACACACAGATCACACAATAGAAAAACTATCATAACTGTGCCATAGCCAGGCAAAGCACTGGAATTTTATCCTACAGCATGTGTGGGATCCCCTCTTCAGCTACAGTTCAATTACAGAACTATTCCCATAACTGTACATCCCAGGACTGTGTGGGCAGGCTGGCTATAAGCTACAACTCCCCAGGCCAGATGACAGTGATCTTGTCCACACAGAAGCAAAGTGCATGACTGCCTTGTTAAAAAAAAACAACAGCACCACCAAATATTACTCCATATGAGGCATCTCCTGGACAACAAGTGGTTCCAGGTCTTACTGTGGGGGGGGGTGGGGATCCATGTCAGGTCTCCATTTTACAAAACCTTTCTGGCAACACTTCAGTTTCGGTTTCCATTAATAACTCAACTGACAATAAAATTTATGACAAACCATTATTAGAAATAATGACAGATGTCTGGGGTTTGGGGCATTGTACACACAGGACAGGACTGGATCTTTGTTAACATCTAAATTGATCTATGCGATTATCATCACAATGGTGTCAGTGTTAAAAACTAAAACATTTGATTTCTGCAGCATTAATATCCTTTGCAGCAAATTAAAAAAACATCATTCTTCATACAGGACAGATCAGATTTCATCAGGGGAGTTCCAGCTGGGTCTATTTGACTGTGACCTGTGCTTCACAGGCAGCAGTGCGTCACTGGCTAAGCGCTGCCCAGGACAGGGTCAGTCAGTGCGCTCTCAGCTCCCAGGGAGAAACGGCAGGTTTCCTGTGACATTCGTGAAGCAAAAAATTGGTGCTGAACTTCCTGTGAAATTCGGCAGAGCCTGCAGCACGTCAAAATAATGAATGGCTCGACAGGCGGGGCTCATCAGAGCTCATCAGTCTGGAGGTTGGCATTTTTGCCAATGTGGATACTGGGGGGTGTCAATATGAGCCAAAACAAAGATAAAAGCCATTCCAAATTGAGGGAGTTCATAGAACAACCAGTGCTTTTACAAAATCTGAAAAGGAATTAATATTGTACTTACTGAAATATGTTAAAGAGGGGAGACATCAATTTTCAATCCTTAATATAAAATGTCTGAAGTCTGCAAAGCTCACATTTAAGCCGTTAAAGCTTCTTCCTTGTGTGCAGTCAATATCAGGACATTATTATAAATAGATTGTGCCAAGTCACCCTTCAATGAGACTTCAGTTTAACACCAGCATCTAAATATATTGTAGAGATGTGGACATTCCGACACTGCAGTCTGCTTTCAGGGGTGCTTTCCATCACTAACCTGCATCCTCCACATGTAACAGATAGATGGGACTTTGAAATTAATCAATATGTTGCTCATATAATAACTTTATCACTCAATGTGACCCACAGTTCTGACTATTCATTTTTATCTACTTCTTATATAAAATAATTTCAGTCATCCCCCGGCCAAGTTATTTTATTTCTAAAGAAATTACTTTCAAGAAAGTATTGCTCTAGTTGGTACTGAAAGTAAACAGCATCAATATTTTATCTTTCAATTAACACCCTTTCATTGTCAGTCTCAAACAAATTACATGCCCACAGATGCTGTTACCATTGCAATTCTTACAGCACTCAAACCACACACATGGAGAAAAACAAGAAAATGTCTGGAACAGGTATATGCTTGCCATACATGTGGCTGAATGCATTAAAACCAGTTTCTTCAAATCCAGAGATACCAGGGGGAGAAAAAGAAATTCTCAAGTTAAGATTGAAGCAAAGCCAGAAACAACAGATAAAGACACAACAATAAACTAGTTAAGAAGTTAATTATCCTTTAGTTTACAAAGTACATCTTTAATGTTAACCATAAAATGGTTTGCCAATGTGAACAAAAACAAATGGATGGCGGGCATGGGGTCAGTTGGAAAAAAAAAAACGAGCAGTTCATTTGCAAATTCCGTAGGAACTCAAACTACAGCTTTGCACTACCTTCTTAGTCGGGGATGCACAGAAAGATTGCTTTTTTCAAAGTGGTGTGTTCCAGGAGTGAGCTACTGCCTATAAAATAAAACCCAAAATCTTCTTAGAGGACGCCACACAGGATTCTAGCTTTATTTTACAGTAAGGGCACTTTAAAGAGTCATTCTTGTAAAGCAGATCATAACCTTTTCCCTCGGCGAGTTTCACAATGTCCCATCCTTCAGTCCGGTCTTCCAAATTCAGAACTGAACAGGTCAGGTGTCCTCCTTTTAAAGCAATGGCGTTTTCAGGATCCAATGCAAGGTATGGTCAACAGTTTTAACTGGTTACACACCTGAGGTAGTAGCCCCTCTCACAAGGCTATAACTCCCACCACAAAATTGCTGTGAAACAAATGCGCAGTTTGGCTGCAAAACAGCTACAAACCCAGTAGTTTATAAAACCACTTCTCTGCTTGGCATAGTGACAGTTAAAACCAGTTATCGTTCTTACCTCCTCTTTACTAAATATGATCCACAGTAGACAAAAGATGTTTTTTTTTTTAATTATTCCTGTTCCACTGTTGTAAAGCACACACTTTCATAATGGCCCTTAAATTTGGTCTAGGTCTTTATCGGCTGAGTCTTGTCGTTTCTGGCCCAGTTCTGCAACAGCAGATGTAATCCATAGCTGTAGTTTAGTTACCATGGGTGATTGGATGGGTACCAGCTCTCAGGCAAGATTTAAGCGCAATGTTACTTGTCTCCAAGGACAGCGTACTGGTTGTCAAGCTGCAGCTGCTGAGCCATGGCCTTTCCCCCACCACCCTCCTCTCGTGCTCTGTTTTTGTGTTTCACTACCTCAAATGTTTTCTCCATTTCTCTGTCCCTGAAACAGACAAGAAAAAAAAACATCAGGAAATTCAATGACTGTTGTTTCACTTTCGGTGATGTTAATTTATCATTAATATACAATGTTGTCAGATGAGGTTCAAGGGGAGAGCACCTCAAGATGTAAAAAAAACATTAGTGGAGGTTAATTCCACTAAAAAAAAGAAAGCAATTTGGCTGTGGAGCCTTCTTCTGGTGCTTGGAGGCAGCTAAACACCTAGAGTCAGTTCTAAAACCAGAATTCTTTTATTTTGACAAATATGGTGCATATTAACATAAAAACTCAACATCAAAATATTCTATCTATGCAGGTTTTCATTGAAATGCATTATACCGATTTTGGATATTTTATTATTGTTTTGTGCAAAATTTTGATTCAATAATGATGCATAGATGACTGTGATAGACTCAAGTGAAATCACCTCATTAATAAGACATCTGACTGGACATTTGTGATAAGGGGATTTCTGGAAATCAATCAATACCCCTTGTTTAGCAAGAAAGTAACGCCTTTGTGCCATTAGGATGTTGAAGCAAATTATCAGGTGGACTAGCTTGAGCGATAAAACAAAGAACCAAAACTTTGTGTAGACCACCACATTTGAGTGTGGTTCCAATTTACCAACAATACACGAATCATTATGTACTACAGACCAACTGATGGGAAATTCCAATTGTGATGATCCAAGCATTGATGGCTGACAGCAAGGCACTATATTAATCATGTCCAGAAACAGTTCTTTTTTGGTTTACGATTTACAACTATGCTGTTTTAATTTCGTACCTCTTGAACAGAAGCCTTGAGTCATACCACAGTTTTCAAAATACCTTTACTCCTCATAAAGTAACTGCGATTACAGCCAAATAAAACCAATTTAGTCTCTAAAATGAAAAAAAAAATACCTTAAGTGTTGTCGTTTTCATTAGTAATACACATTGATTTATTGTTTTTAAATAAACTGCAGATTTAAGCACTATTGGAAAAAATGAAAAAAAGAAAATATTGCTGCTGTTACTTCCAGCTTTGGTGGGAAGCTGATTTCGTATATCCGGAACTGATCAGGTTGAAAAATCCAACAATTTATTACAGATGTTTTTTTAGGGAAATCTGTGATATCATAGGAGATGTCACCTTTGTGGTTTTAAAATTTCACAGGCACACATCTGTATGCGCCCAACACCCCAACAAGTTGCAACTCATCTAAAATCAATCTGAACACGACGCTGCAAGTCAGCAGGGAGTATGTAGACAGGGAGTGAACTGAAGTTCACAAACTCGCTCATCACCGGTTTGGGATTAGACCAAAAACAAACAGTCATGATTTTCCAATTCTACTTTAAAAGATATCACAAGACTTACAGAGTTGAGACATTTCTTTAAATCCAGTGCTTTTGTAGTTGCATAAAGTCAAGATGAGGGTAATGAAAAATATTTAGTACCAATTTCTTACAAGTGTACATGAACTGCGAGTACATGGACTCTGGTCCTGGAACTGGATCACCATTACAAAAGAAATCGGGGACAGAGCCACACTGGGCAAGTTTAAGTAGCTTAAAATCTTACTTTTTCAGGAAAACGTTTTTCTGATTTTGTCCTTTCTGTTGTTTTCTTGACATCATTTCATGATAAATGAGCCTTTTTATGTACTACAAAGTCCTAAGTTTAACATAAAATGTTATGTGATCAGGATATAAAACATTCCCATCTCTTTAGAAAGCAGCAGCAAACCCCAAATCTCCAAATTAAACCAAGGTACTATATAAAACAGCTGTATTAAGGCTGCGACAGAATAATTATTCTTTTCTCCAAACAACACTTTCTTACATAAATCGGTGTTGTTCCTGTCTGGTTTGATTAAAATCAACAATGAAGAGCAATCCCTCTTACCAGCTGAAACTGTACTTCCACAAGTAGGAAGATGGGGCAGTCAAAAGCACTAATAAAATATTCCAATTTTAATGAGCAACAGTAGTTTAACTTGGTTTCTAAGAGCACATTGAACTTCTAAGTGTCACGAATCCAACCACTAGTTCAATAGTTTTTGCTAGTACCTCCCTACTGGACAATAGTGTTACTAACACCAGGAAATAAAAGCCAAGAAGCATTATCCCACATTAAAAAAAAGGTCTCTCAATAAATATTATGAAGAAAGCGATTCAGAAGAAGAGCAAGAGCAATAAACCTACTTTTTGGTTTCCACATGCTTGGCAGTGGCCTGCAGAGAAGGGAACTGGGTGTCGCTGAAGATTTCGGGGGGCCCCTGCGCAGGCCCCCTCTTCGTTGTGCTCATTCTGGCTCCGGGAGGTCTGTACACGCCTGCCGGCTTTGGCTCCGGCACTTCAACTTCTACAAGAGAAAGCATTTCCATTTAACCCCGCATTCGAAGACAGAAACGTCTTTGAAGTGAAACCAGCCCTCAAAACACGAGAAGGCACATCATCGATCCTGTGTTTTCAGCTCGTCTTCATCCAGTGCTAGCTCAGCGGTTGACTTGGCATCCAGAAGCCACAGCAAGGATCCTGCCCAGGAAGGAAAAGGCAGGTGGACACTGCCTTTTTTTGAAACCGAGTCTCTGGGAAGGTCACAATTTTTGAGTACCTACCACATCCAGAGCGCTTATTTGTATTTGTAGAAATTTGATTTAAAAAATGACATTAACAGCTTGCATCTGTTGAAGAACTGCTGAACATTATGTTGACAGACTTAACTGACCGCTCACCAACTGAGTGGAAATAAGATCAACTCACAGATGAGAAGTCAGCGATCTTGCCAATTAAAATATCTCATGCTATTCATAAGACAGGTTTTGTGGACAAACAGGGGCTCAGGAGAACCCCAAACCCGCAACAAAAAGGACCCTGACAGCACTCACCCACGGGTGCAACAGAGACAGGGGCAGCAGGTGCAGACTTGTTCCATGGCCCTGATGTCTTGTCTCCACTGAAGACTATTATTTCCCCATCTTCTCCCAGCTCTTCTTTCTTCTCATACTCCTCCTCCTCCTTCTCATCACTGTCAATAACAGTCCACAGCCAACCACAGTTACTTCCTGCCATTTGTGTGAGTGATCCAAGCCATAAATGTGTCAAAACCTCACTTAATGGGCTCATTTTAGATAGCCAAGGTAACAATAAGCAAGGTGTTATAACAATGCAATTTACAACTGATGTACATAAAGCTGGTCCTCTAGTTTTCAATACACTTGTTTCCAAATTAAAAAAAAGCATTTTAATTGTAGCTTTCAATTAAACCTATTGAATGGTATTGCTTTGATAGTTATCGATGTGTTGATGCAGCTGTATATAAAACATACATCAATGTTTCCGCATTTAAAGGTCAGTTGTAAGCTGTCAAATGTAAGGGGAAAGTCATATTCTGCAGGAGTGCAC